CTCCGCCCAGTGGAGGAGAGGGGGACGGCACGGGCACCTTTCCACCTTCCGTTTTTGTTCTTCTACTTCCGTTCAGCGCTCTAGACCAATACCCTTTTGTAAAACTGTTGCAGAAGTAAGTCTTATACGTCTTTGTAAGATCAAGTAGAATGTTGTAAAGATTTTAGACAAGTGTATACAGACCTGTTAGTTAATGGAGCAGACCTGTGAATTGAAGCGTTTGGGAAAATAGTCACAACATAAAAACTACACGCCGCAACAATTTAAGATTAAATGAGTTTTAAGAACGTAGATGGATGAGGTTCCGGCTGAGACGGAATTTGGATTCCGTCCGAGACTGATGTGACACCAAACAAAACACCACACTAAAAATGTTTGAAGAATACGTCATTTTTAATACCGCTTGTTGGAGTGTCATCATCATTCTCCGGACTATGTTCGCCTCCATTTGCTGAAAACACAAAATAAAAAAAATATTTTTAAAAAGCTCACGTGAAAGCTAGGATAGTTCGACGAGGTGCAAAACGAATGAAAAGCAGTGCCTGTCAAATTTAGCACCCAAAGTGTTTCCCTAACCTCTCCTACTTAGAGTTAGAGCAACAAAAGCAAAGGCTGGAGAATGGATAAGGGGACAATTGTGACAAGCAGTGTTTAAAATAGCCAAAATAATAGGTCACCGTCACCGCTCGAGCCGTCTTGCAAACTCGGAAGTACTGCTGCGATGTTGCCAACATGCACATGAATATTCTTCTCTGCGAAGTGACCAGATCATCTCATACACAGGAACACTGTAATTTTGATCAATTCGATTTTTTTTCGACATATGATTGGCTGAGCGATTAGCGAAGCCTATTACTCCGTCTGGTCGGAAAAAACTTTTTCTGTCTGTCTGTCTGTCTGTCCGTCTGTCTGTCTGTGTATCTGTCCGCACGAAAACTCGAAAACGAATTGAGCGAGCGACCTGGGATTTTCAGGGTTGTTTTGTATCATAAAAAGACAGATCGAGTTCGAAGATGAGCATTCTGGCTCAAAAATTGGATTTTTAAAAAATCGAAAACAACAGGTCCCAAAAATGACGTTTTTTAAAAATATTTTTTTTATTGTGTCCTAAGGGGTAACTCATCAAAGTAGAGCCCTCTGGGCGAAAATTTTGTCCGTTTTGCTCTAGCTTAAACCGTTGAGGCGCTAGAGGGTGTTTTTGACGAAAATAAGCGAAAAAATGTACAACCCTGCATGATTAGTCGAAGTGACGGGCGTTGACGGGCCGGAGGCCCGTATCTTTGTGCACATTTTTGCACTTCCTGACTCGGGTTATGCCAGGCGCGTCGCAGCGTAACAGTGTTTCGTGAGGTATCGCGAAGCCTGTTACGCGAGACGTGGTCTGGCGTACATCTACCTTGTAGTTAATTGTGGAATGATTTTAAAGAAGAGAGAATAGTAGTCACTGACAAATATTTGTTAGTCATGGCTGATAGTGTTGCCTGAGAAATACACTAGTGCCAGCATGAAAAAATAAGTTTTATTACAAGTCACACATATATTGCGATGATCAAAATTTTAAACAAGGAAAGGGGTCACAAAATACTTCAATTGAAATTATAAATGTATATTCAATGATCAGAGAGTGATTGACACCAACTAAGAGTAGAAAACAAGTTGTTTTTTTTTTCTGTGGGTGGTGAGCTTTTTGAAGTCACTTGTTCCTGCTTGTTTTCTCAGGGTTACTGTCATTCGGTTTGCATCAACACTGTCTCTGTCCTGTCAAAAAGTCCAACTTCAATAATCAACTTCAATAAAATATAACAATAATCAGGGAAAATATGTCGGAGCCAAAGCGGATAAGGCGGTTAGCTGACGATGAACTCAGCACGACATCATCAACATCTGAAATTGACCTATCAGATGATGATGAAATTCAGTATAGCCCACCTGCTCAAGTTCTGTCTGCCCAAAGTAAGACGCAGGAGATTATTTTATTTACTGTTTGTCGGTTGCAAAACCTAACTTTTTATATGTTATATTCAACTGGATTTAGCGTTTCCCGCATATAAAGTTGAGATTTCGGCGCACGTACGGGTGACGTTATAAGCGGCTTTTACTGTATCTTTCACTGTTTCGGCCCTAGAGGTGGATATCTTGAAAACAATGGCAAAAAGTCAAGTTTTAAGACTGTTTGACAAATATATACAATTAAAAGACAATCTAGAACCGTTGTCCGGGCGAATGCCGTTCTTAAAACTCATTTAATCCTAAATTGTTGCGGCGTGTACTTTTTATGTTGTGACTATTTTCCTAAACCCTTCAATTCACAGGTCTGCTCCATTAACTAACAGGTCTGTATACACTTGTCTAAAATCATTACAACATTCTACTTGATCTTACAAAGACGTATAAGACTTACTTCTGCAACAGTTTTACAATAGGGTATTGGTCTAGAGCGCTGAACGGAAGTAGAAGAACAAAAACGGAAGGTGGAAAGGTGCCCGTGCCGTCCCCCTCTCCTCCACTGGGCGGAG